CTAGTAGTAATGCCCTTTGCTCCTAGTAGCGATGCCAGGAGCCCCTACGGCCAGGAGCCCCTAGTAGCTTCTTGAAGCCCCCTGGATCGAATGGTGCAGAGCACCGCCTGCTAGCGGAGCTGGGCCGTGGCCACGCTGCCATGGACTGCATTTGGCTCCTACTGGCCTTTCTGATGAGCATGGCGCCTTCGATCCATCCTGGTCCCAATGCCAGGTGCGCCTTCATGAACACGTTCAACGAGCAAGAGTGGCTTACCGCTCAGAGCAACACGTTTTTTGAGTTTCTAGGCGTAGGGGGTGAGGGTCGAGCCACGACCATGCGTGGCTCGGGAGGGGAATGGTATCCACCTTCCACCAAAGGGAAACTCCCCGAAGATCATGGTACAGGGCATGCAGAGTCCCACGGGACACCGTTGAGGGCCAAACGCCATCACTCGAAGAGATCATTCACCAGAGCGTTGAGGAGGCTGCATCAGACTGGGTTTTGTGTCTACCGCGGCAGAGTTCATGTCCAAGCCCCGGCTACACCTGCCACCCTGCCCTCACGGAAGACGACCGCCTTCGAACCAAGAAGGGCACCTGGACCGCGACTCAACTGCATCAGCTGGAACTGCGGTGGCCTGACTTCAGAAGCATATAATGAGCTGTTAGTGTGGCTGTCCTTGCATTCCATCGACATATGCTTTCTCCAAGGGACTCGATGGGCACTTGTTGAACCATGGGTTAGCAGTGGGTTTGCATTCGTCCCATCACCGCCACAGGCCAATGGTCACGACGGCCTTCTCACCATCATCAGAACCCAGCTTTGTGCACCTGAAGCCATCAGTCATGCCACGGCCCTTGAAGGCCGCCTGCAACATGTCCGGTGCCACATGGGTTGCATTGCCATTGACCTTGTCAATTGCTACCAGCATCCCAACATCCCTGCTAAGTCTAGACCGGACCCCATTAGTGCACGTGATAAGTTTTGGCAGGCTTGGGAAAACTTGCTCGCTAAGTTGCCTTTTCGAAATCTCTTACTTGTTGCAGGTGATTTCAACTGCACCATGGACAAGCCGAAAGCCAGTCGACTCAAGCACGTCCAGTACCCGGATCAAGAAGTCTTTAAGACAGTCATTAACCGGTTCTCGCTCGCCTCGGTCAGAGTCCATGACCCCTATCATAGCTACCAAGGCCCTGCTGGTAATATTGACTATGTCTTTGCCCGACGTCCACAGCTGGATCAGCTTGCTCGTCAAGCCTGTTGCATCAGGTCCTTTCCTGTCAACTCACATCGTGACTATCCTGATCACGCACCGATTGCCTGCACCATTCCATTGAACTGGAAGGCATGGCAATGCCACCACAAAAAACAGACATCACATCTGACACGTCATACGATTCAAAACATGCGCCAGGAGTGGGATGCGGCTTCCCCCACTTGGTTCGCCTTTGAAGAACATATGGATCAGGAACTCAGGCTGGCAGCTGCCCGTTGTGACACTCCTGATTGTCTAACTGGTACTGTTGTTCGTGTCTGTGCTGAGCATTTTCGAGTCACGCGTGAACCACCAGAAGCCATTTGGAACATGCACTCCACCAGGTCCTTGGTTGCCATGAAGTGGAGGCACCTCCATCTTGCGCGTCATCCTCAGCAACATGTTGGTCCCACCTGTCAAGTCTTCCATGCATGGGTCCATGTTGTCAAGTTCATGCAACTCAGGTCTCGCCTTCGTCAACATTGCAAACTACTTCCAGGTCCAGCTTCAAGAGGGGAAGGCCGGACGAGCTCTCCCACGAGGCCACAGAAGTCTTGGAAAAGGTCCAACATGCAGTGAGCCTCTTGACGGCCTTGAGTCTCAGACACGAGTCACAACTCCAGGCACAAAGATGAATCAGCAAGGGGTCTTGCCCCTGATCGTGTCACAGACTACTGCCTGGAAGCGAGAGGAAATGGCCATTTCTCCAATGGTGCAACGAGTCGAAATGCTTCAAGCCGACTGCAAAACCAGCGATCGATATGATGATCAAGATGCAGAAGCACCTGGAAGATCTGGTGGAGGCCTCCCAGGCAGAGCAGCACATACTCCGCTTCAAAGCGCTGAAGAACACCTCGGTGGAGATCAAGCACCAACAGGTATGCCCATTTCTCCTGCACCTGTCCGTGAGAGAGAGCACAATGTGGGAACTCCTCAACTTGCTTTCCCACTGGCTTTTGGTTGAGGCTCGTGTGTGGCCTCACAATCAGAGGGAGAATCCTTTAGCCACTTCCTTGGCCAAATCCTCGAAAACCCTGGATCTCCGCACGTCAAATGGCCGCTCCAAC